ACTCAGCACTTGTTTTCTAAGGACTTGGCTTTTAAGGCGTGATATAGTTGGTCAGCTGTCTGTCACACCGTGCTGTCAGCTAACTCTTGGTTTTCCCTGAGCATATTGGAATTGTGCGGTCTTACATTTGGAGGTATCTGAGAGAATTGACTCTTCCTTGTGGTTAGGCTCGTTCTCTCCTGGTAGAATTTGGTATGGGCAGCCAACCTTACTGTGATTATAGGTGGGGTGTGTTGTTGTCTGAAGAGTCAGCATCAAGCCCACGTCCTGTGGATGGACCTGTAATTTGGGAAATTACCAATACTGAGCCAGGTAGAAATACAAGGGATTTTAATAAGGAAAAAGCCTTACTTATAGAGTGACCTAGCCAGCAGGAGGGCAGCAGTCTGTACAACAAGCTGAAAGGGAAACCGAAAACGAAACCAGCCACTTGAAGGCCCCTCACTCTAAGTCCCCTGACCACACCTTCGCAGGCGTGGTCAGTCACACCTGTAGCCAGCCCCTAAGCAGGAGTGGCTACAGCATCCCCTACAGACCTGTGCTTATTTGACCAGGTGGACTGGACGACACTCTGCACACCATCATTGATTGTGCCTGTGAGCAGAATATACCCTTCGTGTTTGCACTCAACCGCAAGGCACTGGGGCGTAGTCTGAACAAAGCAGTTCCTGTCAGCATCGTGGGGATCTTCAGCTATGATGGGGCCCAGGTGAGTTGAGCCACAGCCTCTTAGCTCTTTGTCCATGGGAAGAAGTTGGGGTCATAGCCTGTAATGTAAGTCTACCAACAGGCAGACCATAGCCTCTGTTGGGTTGGCCCTAAGGAGAATTCATCCCAAAGCAGAACCTTCTTAGAAAGCAGTAGCCTTTGTCTCCATAATAGTACCGAGTGAAGGTCCTGAATTTGGGTTTATTACCAAACGAGAGGTACCACATGCCTAAATCTTTGGCCAGGTTCCTCATCTCCTGGCAGCACTCATAGGCAGAGGCACCACAACCCATGTTACCCTACCTTGCTGTCCTGCAATGTGCTTTCTTGTGTTCAAGGACCAGTTCCACAAGATGGTTGAGCTGACCATGGCGGCCCGGCAGGCATATAAAACCATGCTGGAGACGGTGCGGCAGGAGCTGGCAGGACAGCCTGGGCCTCAGACCCCTCCCAGCCCACCCATACAGGACCCCATCCAGTCCACTGAAGAAGGCACCCTCGAGTCTACTGGAAAGGAACCACACTATAGTGAGTGCTCTGGGGAGGAGACCTCTGAGTTGAGTGTTAATCAGAACCTCAGTAGGTTGGGAGAGCAGCATGGCTCTGATGCCTTAAGACTAGCTGTAGTGGCCATGGGAGGTCCAGACAGGACCCATCATTCCCATCATTCTGGCCCATTGCTTCTGAGATTTTAATCATCAGATGTGAAAGCTGCAAGATCATGGTTGATGGTCTTACATTGGAGCTAAATATCACCTGAACAGAGGTGGCTTAAGGGCAGGTATACCTGAGACCAACTTGGGAGGGCAAGTGAATTCTCAGTGCCACTGTTCAGTGAGATGTGCTTTTGGGGGGCTGTGACTGATGGCTGCTCATTAAGGGGAGAGCCAGCCTACAAGTGGGGAAGAGTGAATAGAGCTGGCCAGGGACATCTGAGCAGAGTGAACATCTGGCAACATCTGTAACTCATGCCACCTCATCCCTGCCTTTGATGGAGCTGTGTGACCTGTCAGTGTGTGTCACTTGGGCTGTTTTCCTGTTTCAGTTGAGATTTGGAGAAAGCACCTGGAGGCATACAGTCAGCAGGCCCTGGAGCTGGAAGACTCACTGGAGGCGTCAACCTCTCAGATGATGAACTTGAATTTATAGGAAGAGTTCTTGCCTGTGTGTCTGTGTATTGGGTAAGGATGGGAGAGGCAGGAAAAAGGCTTCCTTCTCAATTCTTTACTGACCTGGTGTAGTTCATGACTGTAGAGTTGGAAATTCACTGGCCTAAGGGCAGAGGGAGCCACTGGGGTAGCACTGTGAGTCCATCACGTGGACACACACTCTCGAGAGCCTTCCCTAGGAAGCGATGATTGAGCTTGGTTCTCTCTGCACACTGGACCTGGACAATGCTGGAGAAGGTGGTCCTGGGTACTGTGCTGCCCAGGAGACATTCCATACAGAGCCAATGAACCAGTGACGGGAGGAGGGACGGGGGCTGTGCTCCTGGGGGACTGTGGAAGGAGGGCCCTTTCTCAGGAGTTGGATCCCTGCCACTTTGTGCTGCCAAGGATTTGCTAAAATGAGCCTCAGAAGAAAATTAGTTTCTAACATGATTTTTGACATAAATTAATCCTTTTAGTTTTTATTTTCCAAAGAAGCAGTATATATCAAATTTGTAGATTCCAGTTTGGTATCTACAGATCTTTTTAATGAACGTACGTACGATGAATGTGGTTTCTGTCTTAGAGGACAGAGCTTGCTTGCATATTTTCTCTGCAAGTGAGAGGGCTTATTTATTTTGAATAAAGAGTGATTATTTAATTTCATCTCAGACTCTGGTGATCTTAGGTCAGTGGTGTCATTCTCACTGGAACTCCTTATTGGACTGTCCCTCTTTCACACTGCTATGGTCTAATGGGTTCAGTCACCATGCCCAGTTGCAGAACCAGCGACTGCCAATTCCTCAGACCATTGCTTGCATCTCTTTCACCAGTTCTGCCCTGTGTCAGGAAAGATTTCTACTGTCTGCCTGCCAAGCAGACACGCACTGGCTTTGGGAATTCTGTTGGCTGGATTCACTTGCACTCACCATTGTCTCTGAGGAGTGGCCTGTGATGAGAAGTGATAGTAGAGACTGAGTCGGACATAGCATGCCTAACATAGGACTGGCCTGGCTGTGTGGCCTGAGTTTGCTGCGGCACGCGCCGCCTGCCGCCTGGAGCTTATGGTGGGTTTGGGCCCCATGTTGTCACTGTGTCAGTGTGGGAATGAACTTGGTGTCCAAGTCAGCTCCTCCCATCCATGTCAGTAGGTAGCAAGGTGATTGTAGGCAGTTTGGAAATATGTTATTTGAGGGGAAAGCTTTGAAATTAGATTGTGGGGATTTTGTAAAGTACCCTGTCAGCTACACACAGCAGGTAGACTTCTGAAATTTGATAAGACAAAAAATTATCTGCAGTGTTTCCTGCTCTGAGGGCCTTCTACCCGAGGTTGCCTTGCCCGCAGTATATATTTGCCAGCCTAGGCTCCTGGCCCACGCAGAGCCCATGAGCAGGGTTCTAACTTTAACTTCTCAGTCTACTTTTAAAAGTCCTCACGTTTGACCTCACCAGGTGCCATGGTTGTGTCCTCACTTTGTTAGCCGTAGAGGACTCCTGCTGGAGCCAGTGCTTTAGATGAAGTCTGCTAGTCTTCCACGGCCTCCACTGTGCCAAAGGTGCCCATGGTACTAGAGTCACAGGAATGAACACCACACTGAACACAAGTGCAGGTCAAGTGCCCACTCTTGGAGCTAAACAGAGACTTTTTTTTCTGTGGTTGGTTGGTTTTTCAAGACAGGGCTTCTCTGTGGAGCCCTGGCTGCTCTGTAGACCAGGCTAGCTTCGACAAGAAATCTTCCTGCCTTTGCCTCCCCAGTGCTGGAATTAAAGGCGTGTGCCATCACCACCCGGCTGAACAGGGAATCTTTATAAGTACACTCCCAAGCAGAACATCCACCACAACCTCAAGTGTATGGTTATTCTGGGGCACAGGCAGGTCCTGACAAATCCCGACTTCAGGGAAGACAAAGGAAGCAACAAGGCAAGGGACTGGGCAGGTTATCATGGCTGAAGCCACACTTCAAATATAACCCGTGAAAGTAATTCATAAAGAACTCCTTTGCAAAGGTATGATGGGGCTGCAAGGTATGTGGTTAGTGTGCAATGGCCAGATGAGTGAGTAGGTGCTAGGCAGTGTCTGGAGAACGAACGGGACAATACACATGACCACCAGAGTGCCTCTGCCTAGAATTGGCCTCAGGATCCCTTTTCACACTGGACTGAGGAGGACCAGCTACCCACACACCTGGAAGGTTACCTGACTCACTTATTCCAGAAAGAAGGGACATTGAGTAGGCTGAGCAAGCCAGTGTCTCCAGGGATCATGGAGGGGTGTGGCTTTGTTTTGACCAGAGTTGTAGGTTTTATGATTGACAAGAAGAGACATGACTACCAAGATTAAAGGCTGAGTTTCTCTTGGGCCACACCTCCCCAGGTCACACACACCCACAAGCTTCAAAGACTGTAATATAAAAACTTGGAAGCACCTACAAGACACGTTTACTCAGCACTGGCAAAACAGTTTAATACGGCACCAGAAGGTTTGCATAATTGACTTGTTTGGCTTTTCTACCTCAGAAGCGGAGCACTGACAGGGTAAACATGGGTGGGAACCACTGTGCTTTGGAAAACAGCCTTGTGTTCTGAGATTAGCAAAGAGCAACTTCCTCATCCTCACTCAGGGTTTAAGGCAAAATATTCTCACATGAAGTCTCAGCTCTCCTGTCCTAGGGTGGACCCTGGAACAAAAAAATCAGTGGCCTGTTTACTAGGTGGCCACATCAGCAGGTTTGACGTAGAGCCACAAAACGGGAGTGGAGATTAGCCGTGCTGCCCCTAGTGTGCAGTGACGTCCTGGGGATGATGCTGGGTGGCTGCCATCAGGTTAGCTGTCACACACTTCTCTATCAACCGCTTGGTTGCAGAGCCTCCTAAACTACCTGTTCCTGCCAGTCAGCTGACCCTTCTGTTACATAAGCAGCTAAAGTAAAAGGGCCCTGATCTCTCTCATGCCCACTACTGGGGTTCTGGCCTAGAAGTTCCCAGCCTCTAGGAGGGGCCACTCAGGCAATGGCCAGTAGCTGTGTGTGGAGCCAACCAAGACCAAAACAGCTTGGTGCCATAGGTGCTGGTGCCTTCATCAGCTATGTCTGCAGCTGGTGTCAACAAGGTCAGTTGGGATCTGTTGAGAACTGCCTCAGGTGGCTAGAAGGTATCCTTGCAGCTTTCCTAAAAAAAAAAAAAAAAAAAGCAAGGTTGAGTTTGTGACCTAAATAGGCCCCTTCTTGCTGTGGGGCAGAGCCCACCAACCCAGGGTTTAAGGATGGGAGTGCCCAGGTGGTTTCCCTAAGTACTCGGAGGCCTGTGTGCACCAGACAGGTGCCTTCAGGAAGGGGCTGTTGTAGCATGGCTGAGTTGAGCAGCATCCCCTAGGGTCATAGAGGACCTTATGGGAGACCTGCATAGGCTCTGGTGAGAAAGGACTGACAACACTGTTGACAACCTGGCAGTCATCTCACACATACTTAGGCCTCCCAGAGGACAGAGCTCTTCATTTGTGTGTGGTAGCTCATCCCAAGGTAAATCCTGCCAAAGTGCCTCACAGTGACTTGAGCCTACGTGAGGGCACCATGCCTGGGGTGCCTTCACTTCTGCAGGCTTGTAGGTAGTAACTCAAGTCCCACCGGGGCTGTGCCAGGGCACCCTCTTTCCAAGTCCCACAGCAGCAGCTAATCTGCTCTCATGAAAGCAGTGTGTTCCAGGAGCCCTGTCCAGGGGCTGGGGCAGCCCTGGGCCCTGGAGAGCTATGAGCCTGTGCATGACCCACAAACCTCTCTCAGTCTCCTCTGCCACCTGGATTCTGCTAGTCTCAGTGACAGCCCAGAATCCCCCGGGGCAACAGAGAAGCAGACCTGCTCTAAAGGCTGAGGAAGCCAGAGGGGCCCCCTGGCAAAGTCGGGGTCCCCTGTAAAGGCCCCCTGGTAACCCGGTACATACCCATGCCTTCCTCCAGCCCTGCATCAGTCGGTCATGCTCCCCAGCCACAGCACGCCATGCAGCGAGCTCCTGGCTCCACTTCTCCTGCTGGAAAGCCTCTGGAAGATAAGCAGTGTCAAGGTCACAGCCGACAACCTCTGGAGTGCTATAGGTGCACACTGTCCATCAGGACCATGCCATCGGCTGAGGGGTGGCTGAGTCCCAGTTCTGATCTGCCCTAGTGATCTGTCCCACTGGGAATCCCCTCACTGGCCTGAGTGGGCCACAGCAGAGCTCGAGGGAGCCAGTGGGTTTTGCATGTCACTAATGGTTTGTTTTTTGAGACAGTTTTGCTTTTTCGACCTAGTTGGCCTTGAATTCACTCTGTAGCCCAGGCTGGATCTAAACTGGAATCCTCCTGATTCAGCATTTCTAGTTCTGGGATTCCAAGTGTGCGCTGCCTCACCTCATAGTCCATGTCTCCATTCACCCCCTTTCTCCCAGCCACAGCTGGGACCTGTGTCTCCAGGGTTCCAGTGGACCTGGTCATTTCCTGAGTGACAGAGACAGCTCCCCCCCCCCCCAGATTGCAGATAAGCCTATAGACCCTTTCAGTAAGAGCAGATGCGAAGCTCAAAACTCAGCTTAGCTCTCACCAGAATTGGTAGAATCCTGGGAAGCCAACATGGCTTCAGGGATTGGAGGAGATTTCCCTTACCCCTCACTCTCCATGGTCCCCTAATTGTGCTTTGTTCTGAAAACAAAGCCAACAGCACATAAGAGTGAGGTCCATCATGTCCCTTGAACTGTTGCTTATGCCACCAATGTCAGAAATCATCTCAGGAACATGAGCCCATCCAGCGTGAAGAACAACTAATGCCCCAGTGGTCATTCAGAATGTCGTGGGAGTTCCTAACTTTGAAGCCCAGACCTGCTGGCCACAGGGGGAGAGGGAGCTAGTTCTTCCCTTTGATCCCTGGGGGCCCTGTAGGCTGATTCTCATAGCACAGGTGAGCGATGCACCTCCCTCCAACTAACAAAGAATCACTTCACCCTGCTGCAGCTTTGCTGGACCTGGAAACACTTTGGGTGGCATAGATTAATACTGAACTAGCATGATTATATCCTGTACTTGGTGTGTGTGTGTGTGTGTGTGTGTGTGTGTGTGTGTGTTTAGAATAGCTTAGGTGTGGCACTACCATCCTGTTCTTCATTAGCTGCTCACCTTGGGCAAATCATTGGCCTTTGTGGGCTTCTGTGTCAGCATCAGTTATTTCTTCATCCTTGTAAATTACTGCCTGGTGCCTCTCTGGTGACTAGCTGCTTGCTAGTGCTGCCCTACCTCCTGGTGAGAATTTGAAAGTCACGGGTCGCTTCTGCTGATTCTGGTTCATCCAGATAGCCAAGCATCGGGCCATTGCTTAGATGTGGACAGCGAATTATTGGGGTTTTCTCTAGAACCCCCTGAAGCACGCACATCAGAGGAACATTTTATGTTAACGCGTGTAAAACCATGAAGAGAGTAATAAAGGAAGCTGCAGGGGACCTGGAAAATGGAAAGCTGTGAGACACAGCTGCCATGCCAAGACAACCTCACAGCAAGGTCTGTGGCACAGTCAATGCTGTGTCATCTGGATGTGGGAGGGGCGGCACGCTAAGGTGCGGGCATATGGCTTAAAAGACTGCACAACCAGGGTACATAGCAAGCAGATTCAGTGGACATTGAATACTGAAGGAGGAAGCCCTGCCGCCTTTCCCCAGTTAAGTCTCTAGATCCCCAACCGAACTAAGCCTCGCTGTGCCCTGTTGTCTGTTCTAGGTCTGGGCTTCTGCTGGGTTGTGATGCTGAGTCCCATCTCTGCTGAGACAGAACTTATATTCTGTAAGAGCCAGGGGAAGGCAGGGATTGTAGCATGCTCAATGGAAGGAGAGCTGTGCCCCAACCTGTTTCCTCACCACCATGCACAGTGTCACCTACAGGGGACTTCTGAACTCTTCACCCAACAGTTCTGACATTGGCTTCCTGGCAAGCCCCAAGACATGCAGATGCCACTTGGTCAGATCACACGCTTTGAAAAACGCAACTTGGGAGAGAAGAAAATTGGGGAGAATGTGGCCTATCCATATTGTCTAAGGCAGAGAGGAATGCCAGTGTGAACCAGCAGAATGCAATAAGACCAAAACTTCATTTCTAAAAGACCCAATACCCCACTAAGGTCTAGAAGGCCAAGTTGAGAAAATGTATGAGGAAGTGGAAAAGATAAGAGATAACAGGAAAAAACAAGGTAGCTCCTTAGGGAAGTGGTCCAGCTCTCACCTCTGGGAAAAATGAACAGTAGATGGAAAATAGTGAACATAGTCAAGAAAATGCCCCAGAACTGGGCGGGGGGGTGGGGGGGACACACTTCCTATCTAATGGGCCCTAGAAAAGCGTGGAACAACCAGGCAATCTTGAATTGTTATGTTACTGCTTGAGGGAAAATGAAAAAGGTCTTAGATGACAGATACCTAGTGAGACTGTCTCAGAAAAGTGGGGAGAAGGCACTGGTGGAGTGCCCAGCGTCATCAGTGACCTCAGATGCCAGAGTGGTGTGTCTGGACTGTCTGGGTACCCAACTAAACTAGCACACAGGGGTCAAGCTTTCAAAATGTTTGCTTTCATGCCTGTTTTATGAGGTTTGCCACAAGACACCCCATAAAACCCAGTGGCTCAATAAAAGAACACAGGGAAATCAGACCCTTGACCCAACATGAAGACAGAACTCTGGCCTCTGACAAAAGATCCCAAACCAGGTGAGGTACAAAGCTGTAATCCCAGTACTCAGGAAGCTGAGGCAGGAGGATCACAGCAAAGTTTGCTGGGGCTGCAAAGTGAGGGATTGTCTCAAAAAGCCATTCCAAAGTGACACCTTGGCTCCTCTGAGAAGCAGATGATGGAAAGTTCTAGGTTAGGAACAAGCCACTGTGTTGAATGCTCAAATGAACGCCTGGTGTTGAGTTTATGGTAACTAAGTGTCTGCAACTGGAAATTAGCAGAGGTAGGACACATGAGAAATGGCACAGGAAAGAGGGGCTGTGTGTGTGTGTGTGTGTGTGTGTGTGTGTGTGTGTGGTGAGAGAGAGAGAGAGAGAGAGAGAGAGAGAGAGAGAGAGAGAGAGAGAGAGAGATCCACCCCAGGCTCACTGGGTCTTGGAGCTTAGTGACTTGACTAGGCTGGTAGGCCAGTGAGCCCTGGGAATCTGCCTGCCTCTGCCTCCCCAGCAATGGAATTACAAATGCATACCATCACACCCAGACTTTTTACTATTATACTCTTCTGTTAGAGAGAGAGCACACACATGTTCACCTGTGTGTAGAAGTCAGAACAACTTGGAGACAGATCAAAGTAGGTCATCCAATAAGCACTTTTTACCCATTTAGCCGTTTTTTACTTGGGCCCTGGGGTCAAACCCGGGTCCTTAAGTTTACATGGCAAGTACTTTATCAATAGCCTTATCTTCCCAGGTTCTGCTGTCTTAGTGACATGAATTCAACTTCTGTTAGGGGAAAGTGGGAGACAGGAAGTATATGTGTGTGTGTGTTGTGTGATCGTGTGTGGCATGTGCAGTTGCGCCTGGTATGTACGCATGTATGTGCAGGCATACATGCATAGGGCGTATGCACACATGTGGGGCATGTTTATAGTGCTTGTGCATGTGTGTATCAGTTCACCATAAAGCAGTGAAAAGCTAAGTCTTCATCTTCCCCAGCAAATAGATTCATCCTCAAACTGAAGCTACACAGGAGTGTCGTTAGACAGGCTAAATGGTGACAGCCAGTCCCTAGAAGTGTTGCAGCCAGAGTGGCCTGAACTTACCATGTCTCATCACAGTCATTTGAACCTTTGAGGTCTGGTTCCCTGCTGAGGAGAGGACAGAGCAGCTGTACTCGGTGGTTTCTTGGATGGTATCCCGAAGCCAGCTGAGCGCATGGGCCGTGCCATCAGGCAGCATGTGGGTTTGCACGGGTACACACATCTCCAGGGCATGTCTGTTCTTCTCCCAGATGAAGCGGACGTCTGCTGGACCTGTGGACACGCGGCCTCTCTTCACATCTCCATGCAAGATTCAAGGGAGCTGCCCAAATGAATCCCAGGCCATCCTGGCCCCATAGGGACTGAGAGCGACTCGGGAGAGTTTCCGGCTCTGTACCAGTCGCTCCTGGAGGAGCGGAGCCACCAAGTTCCACACCTGCTTTTAGCTTCCTGTGGCTTCCTGTGGGCTTCCTGTTCTGACATCAAGCGCCTTGATTCAGAGCACATTTGCATGGCCTGTGAATGGAGGTGTGGTACCTGCTCTGCAGGTGTCTGAACCCGAATTCCACATGACCTTGAACTCCTGATAGACCTGGCTCCACCTTCCAGGTGCATCACCTCACCAAGCTTGGTTCTTTGCGTTTTTTATACTTGTTACTGAACGACTAGCCGAGCGTGGTGTGCACCTGCGATTGTAGCACTGGGGAGTCAACTAACTGCAGGAGGAGCCACAGAAGTCTGAGGCCAGCCTGGTTTACACAGTGAGTTTCTAGCCATCTAGGACCATGTGGCAAGCCCATCTGTGAGTGTGGTGGCACACATATTCAATCCCAGCACTCAGGAGGCAAAGACAGATTCTGTGAGTTCAAGGCCAGCCTGGTTACATAGTGAGAACTTGTCTCAAAAAGAAAAAAAAAAAAAATCAAGACTAAGGCTACCTATTTCCACCACACTAACTAACCCATTCTTGCCACATGGGATGGCTTCAACATATCTGACTGACAGGGTTCTGGAAAATGGGCAAGTCAGGGACATCCAGAATAGTGCTGAGGGGGAGAGGCTTTGTGACCCCAAACAGAAGACGCCCAAGCAGGCAGAAGCTAGACCAGCCTCATGAATTTCTTAAGGGTACCTGGGGGTTGTCATGACTGGGGAATCATGAGCAGGAGTTGAGCTCTGGCCCCAAGGCCAAAACAGTTGGGATGGTAACAGATCACCTGTTAGTGCTGACTTATGGGTGTATATATAGTCTGGGTCTCAGACTTCATCCTTGAGAAGAGCTTTGGGCCCTGCCAGGACAGGTTCCACTCCATCCACCATGAAGGAAAGGCAAGACAAGGCAGCTACAATCAGACATGGTTCACTCCCTGGTCCTGCTCTGGACTTGGCTGAAGATGGCCTGATGATTTAAACCAGCCTCGTGATGCTGCAGTTGTGTCTGCTACTGTTGCTGGGTTTATGTTGCTCCATGCTGAGCAGGGCAGGCAAGGACCCTTCAGCCAGGCCAGGCCACTTTCTTATCTACACACACACACACACACACACACACACACACACACACACACACACCATAGGAAGGTGTGCCTGGCCTGGGCTAAGCACTCCACCAGCAGGAACGAGGGCACTTCTTGCTGGGGATCCTGGTCCTTGACAATACCTACACTTCCTTCAGCCTCCCTGCTGTAGTTGTGCTGAGGCGCTAGGCAGGGAGTTTAGTACTTGGTCACAGGAAACAGGTGGGATACAATGTTTTTCTTTTTGAGACAGGATCTGTGTAGCCCAAGCTGGCCTTGAACTTTATGTAACCAGGGATGCCCTGGAGCTTGCGATCCTCTGCCTTCACCCCTCCCCCAAGTGCTGGGGTTATAGGCATGCACCCCTGAACACGGCTGATACGGAGTGTTGAGGCTCTAATCTCTGGCTTCATACATGACCCAGCCCCACAGACTGGACTTTTGAAGAGATTTTTAGTTTATTACTTTGGGCATGGATTCTCCTCCCTTTACCAACCTTGGCATCCAGTCACCTATATCTGGTTCCTTCATCAGTTACCCCTGTGTTGTGTGGGTCCTGGAAATCATATCCATGTCCTTTCCCAGAACAAGTGCTCCTAATCGCTGATCCATCTCTCCAGCCCCTTGAACTTTTAAAATACATTTTCCAAGAGCTTATAAATAAATGTTACTTTTATAATTTTAAAAGCCACTATCTAAAACAGAATTGACCTGGGTGACACACATCTGTAATCCCAGTACTCAGAAGGCAGAGACAGAGGACTAACCATAAGTTCCAGGCTACCCTGACTACATACTGAGGCTCTGTCTCAAATGGATGGATGGATGGATGGATGGATGGATGGATGGATGGATGGATGATAGATAGATAGATAAATAGACAGATATAGATAATTAAAAAGCAAACAGACAAAAACCAGGAATGTACCACAGTCTCTAAGGGACATTCCAAAGGTGTTCCAGAAGCATTTGTGGCTATCCATCTGGCTGCAGACTAGTGGACAAGCCCTGTGGTCTTTAAAAATAAATTCTATGATTTGTCTTCCACTCAAGTGTTTTGAGTTGTAGCCACAGACAGGTATATTTACATACAGGTATATATAAATGTTTATATGCACATTCACACACATCTGCACACATGTAATGTCCATCAACTGGGAAGCACAGACAGAGTCATCCCTTAGTATCTGCAAGGCATTAGTTCCCGATCCCTGAGAACTTCAAAAAACATGCTTGCAGAAGACCTACACATATCTCCTCTTGAAGACTGTATCATTTCTAGATTTCCTGTAGTGCCTATCACTATGCAGACACTACTTACATAGGTGTGACACAGTTTGTTTAGGGAACAATAGCATGGCAGAACCTGTATGTGTCCAGGACAGGTGCAACTCTGTGGACCTGCATCCACAGCTGGTAGAATCTGGGTGTACACCTGCAGATCTTAGGACCAAGGGCCTCTTTCTACAGAGCTACTCAATGCCTTTCATGAAACCATGTTGTATTAGCCATTCCTGTGCAGGTGGGCATCAATCTAAAATCCAACTTGAAGAACTAATTCTTGTGGTGTTATGGCCAAGGGATGACCAAGAGACACTGTGTGTGTGTATGTGTGTGACCAAGAGACAGTGTGTGTGTGTGTGTGTGTGTGTGTGTGTGTGTGTGTGTGTTTAGAGTCCTGCCTTCCCACATCCACCAGTTCTGCCCCAATGTGAGCACAGAGGACACAGGAGGATCTCATGACCAAACCGTCTGGCAGAGAATCCAGGTAGCCTGAGTTGGAGATAATCCCCAAACCCCATGAACAGGAACCTCCAACTGCAAAGCTCCTCAGTACTGGCCGCAAATCCCACACCACGAGGATTGACTTAAGCACCTATAAACTTAAATATGGCATAACTGTCAGACATGAAAGATGGTGAAGTGTTACTTACTCTGTTCGTTCTTTAACTATCCAATTCCTTCTGAATGCAGAAATTAGAGAGAGAGAAGGAGTGTTAAAACCAGCAGGCAGCACAACCCCATCAGTGCTGTGCCATCTGGCACTGGGTGATGGTCCCAAAACTGAACCTGTGTGTCACAGGTTGCCCAGACACATCCCATATACAGGGCTCACAGTTTTTGATTTTCAAGAAAGGTTTCTTGGTGTAGCTTTGGCTGACCTGGAAATAGCTCTAAGGACAGGCTGGCCTAGCACTCACAGAGATCCACCTGCCCCTACCTCCCAAGCGCTGGGATAAAAGGTGTGTGACACCATCTCGTGGCTCACACAGTTCTTTTACTCTTGTCCTGGCTAGGGGGGTTGCTGAAGATAAGAGCTGTTTCTGCCTTGGGCTACCTGCCCCAAATACGTTTTTGTGGGTCTAAAATCACCTAGGAGACAGGCCTCTAGGCATGCCTGTGAGGATTTCATCTAGATTGGAGTCCTACAAAGAATTAAAAAGAGAAAACCTGGGCGTGGTGGTGCACGCCTTTAAACCCAGCACTCAGGAGGCAGAGACAGGTAGATTTCTGTGTGTTGGAGGCCAGCATGATCTACAGTGAGTTCCAGGTCAGCCATGGCCACACAGTGATACCCTGGAGGGTAGGTGAAGGTGGAAGGGAGAGGGAGAGGGAGATACTGAGAGCACAAACTGAGCATTGGCTGGCATTTATCACTGCGTCCTGACTACAGATTTGGGGTGACCAGCTGCCTCAGGCTCCTGCCACCACGCCTTCCTCATGGACACATTCTGTGAACCATAATGAAACCACCTCCCCTGGTATTTGTCATAACACCAACTTGGACATACATACGTGGGCTCTTCTGGCATCAACTCGGTGGCTACTTGGCCTCCTGGCTGGGAGGGATTCTGATAGAGACCTCATTGACCCACCTGTCCCCATGGACTGTCAACTCCCCGAAAGCCTGTATGTACTCCAGCCACAAAGGCTCTTTCAAAGCTTCCCTCTGCTCCAGAGTCCCCCTGGGTCAGTATCCATCCCATTTCACCCAGGACAGATTAGCAGTGTGGGGCTTTAAGCGTAACTTCTCTCACACTACAGCCTCAGATTTCATGAGTTCCCCCAGCAGCCATATCCCATTAGGACAGACTGCTCTGAGCAGCGCATACTGCAAGTTCAGATGGCACCTTGTTTGGCTCTTGCTAGCCTGGAATTGAGATCAAGTACAAGCATGTTTGTTACCTGTGAGGGAGGCTTAAGCTCAAGTTGGAAGGAAGTGTGTCAGCCTCTCTCCCTGGTCCTGAGTCATTGTCCCCAGACACCTCATCATGTAGGTGGTCAGGACTACACCTGGTGATCTGGAGAGGTGACAATTTAGCCACCAACAATGGTTTCTTAGGACTATGGTCCTGAAACACACCCCTGTAATGAGTATGCTGGGTTCTGGACCCTAGGGGACCAAAGCCTACTGCTCAAAGCCATGAATGGTGCTCTCAGCTTCTATCATCTGCCTTTAGGATGAATTAGTGCACTGAAGCAGCAGGCAGCCTGGACCCTGAGCATCCCCCAGCAAGTATTACTAGGCACCCAGCCCTGAGTCTCAGGGTAAGGGTCATGTGATCTTTACCAAAACCACCCCTGAAGGACCAGAACCAGGAAGAGGTCCAATGGCTGAGGATGCTCTCAAAAGGTCATGGATACTGGATTGGAGGAGATCACTTTAAGACACTCTATCTCCTCCAGCTCCCAGAGGTCCATTAGTACTCTTCAGCACTGATGGACAGGGAAGGGACAGAGAGGAGCCCAAAGAGCCCCTGTAAGCCCAGAGTTTGCAGCTGCCCAGACCCCAGGAGACCCAGAGAAGAAGTTTTCACAGTCTCCGGGGCCCCAAACCCATACCAAAGCTCCAGCACAGCTAACGGGCCAGCTGAAGGGACCCCAGACATGCAGGTGCTCAGCCTGGGGCCTTGCTTGGTAAAAGCAATTTGCTTGTACCATTAGTAAAGGAGCTGAAGTTAGTGTCTTAGGTTATCAGGGTGGGCCCAGGCATGTGCTGTGTGTGTGGTAGGTATGCTGTTTGTGTCTGTAGTGGCTAGTGTAGGGACATGCACATGGTGTTGGCTGGTGCTTTATGGCGTGTGTGATTTGTGATATTAGTATTTTATGTTGCTGTGCAGGTGTACTGTGTGTGTGTGTGTGTGTGTGTGTGTGTGTGTGTGTGTGTGTGTGTGTGTGTGTGGTATGTGTGCTGTGCGCTGTATATGGTATTTGTGTGATGTATGTGGTGTTTATGGACTGAGTGAGCATGTGCACGTCTGTGGAGTATGTTGTGTGGGGTGAGGTATGTGTACGGTATGTATGGTGTAGTATAGGTGGTGTGGCTTGAGTGGGATGCGTGTTATGTCACGTGTGATGTGCTGTGGTGTGGTTTATGTGGGATGCGTGTAATGTGGTGAAGCAGATGGGGTGTGGTATTGCGGTGCTGGGAATGTGTGTGGTGCATGTGGTGTGTATGGTGTGCATGGTGTGATATAGTGTGTGTCTATGTGTGTAGTGTGTGTCTATGTGTGTAGTGTGGTGTGTGGGTGAGGGTGTGTGGTGTGGTGTAGTGTGTGTCTATGTGTGTAGTGTGGTGTGTGCGTGGGGGGGTGTGGTGTGTGTAGTGTGTGTCTATGTGTGTAGTGTGGTGTGTGTGTAGTGGGGTGTGTGGTGTGGTGTAGTATGTGTCTGTGTGTAGTGACTGGTGTGTGTGGGATGTGTGGTGTGGTGTGTGTATGAAGTGTACGTGATGTGGTATATGGTGTGTGTGTGCCAACCTATGGCAGCTGGCTGGGTATGCACACAGACCTCAGTGCTGTGCTGGTCTCACATACATAGGCTTGAGGAAGGCTGTGCCAGGTCCTGCTGCCTCTCCTGGCACTAAAATGGAGGTCCTGCCAGCTCTAGACTGTGGGCAGCTTGACTTTCCATGCTTGGGGCAGCTCTGGTGCCTCCTGATGCTACCTCCCCTGGCCATCTCACTTCCTTCAGCAGGGCTTGTTTCAATGCCTCTCAGACCCTGGGTAACACTCATCCAACCCAGATGACATGGAGGCTCTAGGTGGGAGCAGGGGTGGGCAGACTAGTCCTGAGTGCAAGCCTATCTATCTGACCTCTGGTCAACCCTCTCTGGAGAGGAGAGGCTCCCCAAGATAGCTCGGGGTCACTAGCAGAGCCAGTGTGGGCACCAGGACATAAGCCAAGGACCTGAAATTCCCTGTGCACCCTCTCTTTAAGTTTCATATTCTAAAAATGGCTTGTCAGGCCTTTAATCAGCCAGCCCCAAGCCACTTACAGCAATCATATGCAAACAGCTGCTTTTAGGAAAGAGAAAAACCCAGATCATGGCTCCCAACCTGCCCCACCCTGCTCTGGGCTCTAGGATGAGGCTGTGGTTAGGTTGGGGAGTCAACTGCAGTCTCACCTGGGACAGCTGCCTTTGCCTCCTCAGCAGCCACCACAGACAGAACCCGAACATACACAGTTCTTGTAGAAAAGTTGCAGGGAGTTCAGTTCAAAGCCACACGAGCCTCTGCTTCAGATAGGGCTCTCTGCAGACCTAGACCTAACCTGGCCACTTGCTCAGAGACACTGGAGGCCTCTGCGTGTTCACAGCACCAAAGCCCACCTGACCGTAACCAGCCAAAGCTTGCGATGCCTTCCAGAGCTGCCTTGCCTCAGTGGAGGACAGGACAGAAAACAAAGGCCCTAGATGTGGTCAGTTTGTGGGGGGGTTGGTTCCACATATGCTCAAGACAGACAGACAGACAGACAGACAGACAGACAGACACACACACACACACAGAGGCACGCACGCATGCACACACATACGCACACACATATACTCGCACACACGTGCACACACGCGCACACACACACATTCATTGTGTGCATGTGTACGAGTGCACGTGTGTATAAGCTTAGCTTATCAGGAATCATCTTCACTTCTCCACCTTATTCCTAGACAGGGTCTCTCAATCAAACCCAGAGCAAGGCTACCTGGCTAGTCTTGCCAGCCAGCATGCTCTGGGGATCCTGTCTCCACTGAGGTTGGAATTACAGGTGGGTCACCGTGCCTAGCCAGCATTTATATGGGTTCTGGAGTCATCCCCAGTCCTTATGCTTTCACAGCAAACACTCTAACCACCCAGCCATCTCCCCAGCCCATGCCCAATTCATCCCGAGGGGCTGGGAAAGGAGCACACTCCTCCCTTCTCAGTTCCCACTCCCACTCAGCACGCTTCTGGTCCCCACGGTCCCCAGCTGTGGTTCCTCGATCCTTGGTCTCTAGTGTTCCTTCAAGTCTGCCCATGAGAAGGCTGATCAAAGTGAGCTATGTCCTCTTATGGTAGCTCTCAGAAGCGGTGAGGGCAGTGGTAATGCTGGCAGGGGTAGATCCAGCCTCAGAGCTCAGAGGCCTGGCAACGTGGGTTAACACACTTTCATTGCCCTGCTGCCCGGGCTGGTGGCTTCCTACAGCTCTGTCTTTGGAGAAGCCCACCTTCCTGTCTCACACCTAGCCTTCCTAGGTTGTTCCTACTCTAGTAAACAACTCCCTGCTTCAGAGTCCCTGTGTTGAAATGCCTGTGGAAAGGCCCCAGTCATTCACTCTCTCCCATGTCACTGAAACCCTTGCTAATAGTAACAGGTACCTGAGAAACATCTCCAAATGTGATGCTTTTTAGCCACAGTTCCTGCCTGTTTCCTAGGAACAAGGCCCCGGGTCCTTTGCCACTTTGGATGGACCCAAGCCTGGGCTTCTCCAGCTCCCTTGAGAGTGCCCATGAAGAGCTGCTGCCCGAGACACAAGCCTGCTGGAGACATGGGATTTTCTATTGGCTCCCTGAGGCTAGAATACCCAGCTGAAGGGTTACAGAAACAGCTCAGCAGTTAAGAGTACTTGCTGCTCTTGCAGAGGCCCCAAATTCAGCCCGCAGCATTCACATGTGACTCCGGCTCCAGGGCACCTCTTCTGGCCCCCTTCATGCACACACTCATACACACACATAAATAAATGGTGAACCTTGAAATACCTTACTGAAGAACAAACAGGTTGTCTACATGAAGGCTTGGTCCACAGCACCACGCACAAGAGCAGGAACACTGGAAGCAATGGCATACACTAGGTGACCCAGTGACTTGGGAGGCTGAAGCAGGGGCATTATTGGAGCTCAGGAGTTCAGGGGCAGCCTGGGCAGCCATAGAATAAGACCCCAACTCAAATAGGAGAAGCAAACAATCAGCCGCACATCTCCACTCAGGTCCATAGCAACATCTGTCCTCAATGTCAGCTACAGCCTCTATGGGGCCACCAGCTGTCCATGGCCTGTTGCAGTCACAGCAGAGGACACAGGCCCCAGGATCCTAGAGCTAACAGCACGAGTGGTACTTTCAAGTTCTCCATAGCTTTGATAATTGAAAAGCAATTTGAAGATAAACCAGATTGGCTTTTTCTTGCAATCAGCACCATTCCTAGCCTCTGAACAAAGGCCACAGCCCACAGACAGAGAGAGGGAGGGGCTCTGCATGCGCCTGAGCTAAAGCATGGTGTTGGTAACCAACATCTTTCCAGAGTGCATGTCCCTGTGCCGTATTCTACAGCATAGGGAGAAACTCTGGCCTTCTGGTTTTTATGCCTGATTTATGTACTTATTTAATTATGCTACTACTAGGGCCTTGTACATGCTAGTCACACATTCTACCATTCTAACCCTGTTCCTATTTTAAAATTCTGAGACAGGGGCTGGAGCAATGGCTCAGCGGTTAAGAGCATTGACTGTTCTTCCAGAGGTCCTGAGTTCAATTCCCAGCAACCACGTGGTGGCTCACAACGACCTTAAATGAGATCTGGTGCCCTCTGCTGGCATGCAGGCAGAAGACTATAATAAATAAATAAATAAATAAATAAATAAATAAATAAATAAATATCTTTATTTAAAAAAAAATTCTGAGACGGGGGTCTCACTAAGTTGCCCAGGCTGGCCTTCAATTCCCTCCATAGTCCAGGTTAGCAAACCGTGGCCTGCAGCTGGCCCTTGGTTGTCCCAAAATTCCAATTTTCTGATACACAACAATGCCCAAGCCACGCCTAGAGCCGCTTCTTCAGCGTAGCAGCCTACAGGTCCAAAAGATCTAACACCTGTATCTATATGGCAAAAAGCTGGATGACCCCTGCTGCAGCCTAGCAGCTTCACACCACAGACAGCTCATCTCAGGATCAACAGGGCTGAAAGCAAAGATGGTTGAGCCTCAGGGAAGACAAGAAAAGCAGTGAACAGTAAGGGCAGAGTAAGGGGACAGCCATGGACACTGAGGCCCTCGACTCACCTGTGGCCTGGCAGAAGAGGTAGAAGGCTCCCAGCGCGTGCACCCGCTGTGCCTGGTCACTCAGGAAGGGTGGCAGCAAAGTAACCCGCTTACGGTTGTGGGGCCCTGAGGCCAAGGCTGGCCAAGGGCTTCTGGGAGAAGACGAGTCAGGGCCCAGACAGGATAGAGAGGAGGAGCCAGGAGGAGGGAAGGACTTAGGAGATGAGGCTGTGAGACAGAGGACAGAAAAGAAGGCACTGAGGAAGAAGTCATCAGAACAAGTCCCATGCTGGAGAAGGCAAAGCAAGAAACAGACACATGGGGATGAGAAAAGAAAAGAACCCAGAGCCGTCCCCCACCCAGGGCCATCACACAGGGACAGGAGGCCCACACAGCCTCCACTAAGGAAAGGCCGGCCCAGTCAACGATAAAGCTTCTCTGGTTTATTTGGGTACTTTTCAAATATATACAGTTCCAAGTAGAAAAATAAAAACAAAGTAAATCTTATAAACACAAATGTTTACACCGAATGGTGAGATCATGTCATGCTGAAGATGGGTGTCTACACGGCACGGGGAATCCAGAGTTCATCACTCTCTACATGGAATGAGCGCTCCACACACAGTAAGTGAGAAACAAATGTTAGACTCGTACCACCCATTAACATCCTGAAAGACACTGGCAGGAGTCAGGCTGTAGCAGCGGCCGCCTACACAGGACGTTGTGGTCACTGTCCGGGGCCGGGAGCCCACTACCCAACCCATTTCTGTTTTTCGTGGACAGTCAAGGTGGAAGTTCAAGGGCAGTGATGTCAGATGCAACCGAGGAGTGATGAGAACAAAGGCGCCATCCGTTAGGGCAGCAGGTTCCAAGGAGCAGCAGCGCCATTAGGGTGTAAACCTTCCTCCCCTCACAGGGCCAGCTCAACTGCCACCCAGAGCCACTGGGCCACCTGCCCTCACTCAACACCCGCCTTGTAGATGTATGGTGGGAAAAAGAAAGAAAAGTATAGCAAGAAAACCGTGGAAAAACAATGCTTCCTTCAAAATGAGTGAGATTAAAAGACAAAAGAAAAAAAAAACAAGAAAAACAACAACAACAACAAAAAAAAAACAAAATAAAAAGGGTGAGTGAGTTCACGAGACAGTTTTAGGCCTACGTTCCTAACAGCAGGAAAAAAATGCAGTTAGCAAAAATAAGTCTATCCCTGAGAATCTGAAGCGACATAAGCCATATTTTATCTCAATATATAACAAAAATCTAGAAAATGCACATCTTCTCATGAATATTAAAACATCTCCTTCGGTAGTTTAAAAAAAAATGACCTAAGACATCAACATAATCAGCGCAAAAATCCTAAAAAATAATTATATGAAAGAGCCCGTGCCGATCTGGACAGCGGGTGATACATTACCAATCTGCTAAACTAAAAGGTCCTTTCCAATCTGGAATTAAATTATCTTTCAGTGGCTGCTACGAGAATGGTGGCTGTCACTCCCCCAGGACACAAAGGGCTCAGGTACATCTTAAATAAGCGCTCCAGCAACTGTAGGACTTGAGACTGGAATAGATATTTGTTTCCCAAAGGACAAAGAGGACAAGTCACAGACTCAACCCAAGAGAAAGACAAAGGACCGAGGCTGGCACACGATGACAAGGCTACTGAATGGGCTCAACACAACACTCTCCACGAAGACTGTGGGACACGGGCTGGGACACACTGGCTTCAGTCCCCGTCAGCATCCGAATCTGCAAACTTCAGTTCACACTTGACATCAAACGGTTTGTCCCTCGCAGAGAGTTCATCAATCCGCTGGGAGTCCTCTCGATCTGTGGGCACTTTGCTGGTGATGGTGTCTTGCTCGGTTTCATAGCCAGTGTCCAGGGCTGGCTTGGGCTGGTCACCATTCTGCTGTGAGAAGCTCCCAGGTTCCACCAGCGTCTCCTTCACACTCTGCTCCAGGTCAGAGAAATCTGACTTGGGCTTCTTCTTCCCAAGCAGCAGGGCTGAGCGGAATTTTAAGCATTGTCCAGGCAAGAAGCCCTTGTAGCAGTTGTAGGAAAAGAGGCAGAGGAAGAGGACAAAGATGAAGAGTAGGAGAGACATGAGCAGGCGGTTGTCACTGGACTTGAGATACACCGTCTTCTCTGAGTGGAGCTGGGGGACCGTGTTGATGACCATCTTTGGCTCACAGGATGTGCCGGTGGAGGAGGACTTGGGAGGTAGGGTGGCAGCTCTGGGGGAGGTTGCCCACAGAGCAGGGGTAGGGGGAGAGGACCCCTGGGTAGATGCCACCGGCATTTTGGAAGTGATCCTACTACCTTCTGTCTGAACAGCCTGGGAGGGAGGTGATGTGGGGGTCCGAGAAACCACCTTCACTTCCAGGACGTGCTTGGCCAGCAGCCGGGAGACCGTCTTATTCCTCACCCTTTCTTCCGACAGGCACTGGTACACACCGCTGTCTCCCTCTGACAGGTTGAAGATGAGCAGGTGCTTCCTGCCCACAAAGCCATACTTGGGACTCACAGCCTTCAACTCGCCATTCTGGAACTTCCACACCACCCGGGCCAGGTTGGACTTTTGGAAGCATTTGAGTTCTGCTATGCCACCGTGCTTGAAGGAATGTTCATGGGAACTTTCTTTACTCTTATCTGGAACATCAAAATAAATGTGCTCAGCATCAACAACTCCTTTGTCTGATTAGTCAATCGCTCTCAAAAACAGGCCAATACCCACAGGACGACGCGAGCAGTGGCCCGCTGGAGCCAGATGGAATCTTCAGGACCAAGATAAAGACATCGGTGACCCGACAGCAGCCCCCAGAAATGAAGAATTCGGTGACAGCTCTGAGAAATCCCGTTCTCACCCTGTCCCTGGAGAAAGCTCAGCAGGCTGGAGGGCTGTGCACTGGTCAGCTCCTCCACCTGCAGTGGCACCAAGGGTCAGCTGCCAGATGGTCTGCAAACGGCTGAGGCAGACCAGCTAGCAACCAGGGACCCTCTTTTTACATGTCTTTTACTGTGACATGGCTGGTAAGACAGGCAGGCACAGGGCTGGGGCCCATTTGTCCTCATGTGCTGGGAAGACAGAGTAGAATCCCCACGAGATTCTATGTCTGTCTCTGGTCACAGCTATTCCCTGATGGCCAGCCATCGGCAGTGGGACCCTCAAGAGGACAGGAACTAATTAAAGCTGTGTCTTTTGTCTGAAATACCAGAGATGGAAAAAGTTTGGGGATTGGGATATTTGCATATATAAAACAAGATGGCTATCTTTGGAAGAGGACCAAAATCTAAACATAAGATTTCATACATATAGCCTGAAAGGAATTTCATACAATTTTCTGTGTGCAAATGTGTGTTTATACATAGAGGCCAGAAATCTACTGAGTGTCATTTATCCCTCAGGTAACAGTTACCTTCCTTTTTGGAGATGGGGTCTCTCAATTGTCTGGCAATTGCTGAGTCAGCTAGGCTGTCTGGGGCTACAAGTTCCAGGTGTCCACCTGTCTTACCCTCCTTAGGGCTGGGATCACAAACATGAACCACCATGCCAGCTGTATTACATGGATTCTGGGGATCAAACTCAAGTCCTACAAACTGAGCCATCTCCCTAGCCTTAAAATACTTTAAATGATATTTTACATAAGAAACTACCCTTTCTAGTGTAAGACTGTCTCCTTGAACCATGACACTGTACCACAATGTTCCTGAATCACTGTTTTTAGATTTGGGCTAAGCGGACAGAGGAGCTTGGGATGGGGCATGTTTCCCAGTGACCCGATGTACCCAGTGTGGCTCGGAGAACTGTTTCTGGATAGGTCACAGGTCTGCTGCATACCACTCGACCTCTGTTCAGACAGGAAGGAAGAAAACAAAACACACACTAACACTGTGGAATGGAAACACCAGGAACTTCGGCATCCTGATCAGGAAGCAAAGGAGACCAACTCACCCAGGCACGAGGACGTGTCACCACTCATCTCCTGAATCCAGCCCCTGTGAGAAAACAGGCACACATGACTCTCCAGCTTGTGCACAGGGCACACACACACAATCTCACCCGTATCATACCTGCTGGAGCCCACTGCCTGGTGCAAGGTGACACAGGCCTTGGCGGCCGGGCTCCAGGCGCAGTAGGGGTCCCGTGCCAGCACACAGTCCTCACAGCTACTGTGCTGTCTGCAGAAGGCCAAGGGAGCCTGGACCACACCTGAGTTGGAGCCAGCATAGACAAACCTCTTCCCCTGTGAACAGGAGACAAACAGCTGGTGTAAGGAGGACTACGGCACTGGTGGGGCTGCTAGCTTCTCTATCAACTCTGGGGAAGGCCTGGTGCATTCAAGCACCACATGGAGGGAAGGGCTCCCTGGCTCAGAATAGGCCACAAGGCCTGACCACCAAGACCTAAGCAACAGTGTCCTGATCAGTTTTAATGTCAACTTGACACACCTGGGAGGAGGGACTTGGAGTTGAGAAATTGCTTATATCAGATTGGCCTGTGGACATGTCTGTGGGCCATTTTCTTATTTGCTAATTAATGGAGGCAGGTTCAGCCCTCTGTGGGTGATGCCATCCTCGAGCAGGTAGCCCTGGGCGTTATAAGATAGTAGCGAAGCAGACACCAGAGGGCAAGCCAGTAAGCAGTTTCCAACATGGTTTCTGCCTCAGTTCCTGCCTCCAGTCCCTCTGTCCGAGCTTCCCTCAATGATGGGAGTGTAAGCTGAAACAAACCTTTTCTCTCCAAGTTGATTTTGGTCAAAGTCGATTATCACAGCAACAGAAAAGCAAACTAAGGCAGAAATCTTGTACAAAAATACAGGCAGGTATTCTGTGTCCTAGGAGAACTCAAACACCACCTGAGGAGCTACAGGGCCTGGGAACTGACATGCCACCCTCCCATATCTGAGGCTGGACTTGGGGCCGAGTGCATTACATTTCTGTATCAGCCTCTCTCCTGAGAAAAGGCAATTCTATCCCTATTTCCCCTGACTAAAACACTCCTAGAGGGTAGAGGAAGGCTCACAAGCCTCAGAAACTAAAGGAAACTTAAGCTCAAAAAGTTATTAGATTCACAAGGTCCCCTTCCCCAAGGTTATATAAGCACTAAACAACCGCTGGTTAGAAGAGACTCTCTGCCCTGTTGAGCTGCCTGCTAGCTGTGCGGGAAGCTCCATGGATGCAGCTTCTGTGAATGCCACTTATGCTAGAGTAGCCTGTTTGTTGAAGCTGCTGCCTCTGAGTCACCCACACTCTTGTAAATAATCCCTCATTCATACCTTGTAGGTAACTGCCCCAAACTCTAGCTCACTGAGCTAGACTAGTCTGTCCATGGTGCCTTCACCTGGGGTGAAGAGACTTTTATTTGTGTCTTGAGAAAATTCACAAGAGTCTTCTTCAGCGCCTCCCACTCCCAACTTGACACCCCACTGCTCTCCTGGACTCACTGTAGGTGACACAGCACTATAGCTGGAAGCCATAGGACACAGTCTTCAAATGCCAGTCCTTGTGCAAGAAAGTAGGCACCAGTGATAAAGACATATCCTTATCATTCATTTCTGAATCCAGCATGCCAGTGTGACCACACCTATCAACACCTTGCAAAGAGCAAACAGAAAGCCAGCAAATTTCACCCAGCAGGAGACACTGTCATGTGCTTTCTGCTTGCCTGTATTTGTGATGGAAGAGCCACAAAATCAGCCTCAGTGCTCCAGTTAGCCACACAGAGCTCAGTACCTGCCAGGCTGACTTTCAGGATGGGGAC